TTTTTTTTTTTTTTTTTTTTTTTTTTTTTTTTTTTTTTTTTTTTTTTTTTTTTTTTTTTTTTTTTTTGTTATTGTTGTTGCAGGTCTTGTCTCTGACATCTCTACAGAAATCCACAAACTAAAGCAGGGAGGAAATAAATAAGAGTGTAAATACAGATTTAAGAGAATTTATTATAAAATGTGACACAAAAGAGTTGGTGTCAGAAGGCAATGCCTGAGAAGAAGAGAGGAAAAAAATAAATATATTGTATGTACGGTATGAGCTTTTACTGTCTGCTTCCATCTCTTCTTTTACTTTTTTGTCAGGATTTGGCAGACTTCTCCCTCCCAGCAACCCCCACTTACTATTTGACCTTTTTGCTATTTTGGAAGTTTATAAAAATGAGTGATTCAGCTGCTCAGGAAGGCTCTTTTAAGTTCTGATAAATACAGAAACACTCCCTTCTCTTTTTATCCTTTTCCTTCCCAGTTTCAGACTGTTACTGAAATTTCTTTGTTTTATTTCCCGAGTGCTTGCTTTACTGTTCTGTGCTTCCACTTTACAGTTTACTCTCCTGAACTATCTATTACTTTTGGCTTGCTGCTCTCTGCTCTCTGCTCTCTTTAATTTTCTATTAGCTCATTAAGGATTCTCTCCCTTATTTCACACTTTCTCTTACATTGCCATACACTTGGAGATGTTTTGTTTACCTTTTTGTGTAGTTTTGGATTGTATGGATGAAGAATAGAGTATACTCACTTGTATGTGTGTTACTTGTGTTCTAGTTTTGTGGGTTTAGATTTGTAAAAGCTAGGTTGAAGACGATGAGTTTAAAGGCCTTGTGTTGTTCGTCAAATAGTTATGATAAAGAAACGCACATATCAAAGATAGGCTTGGCTCGGTTCCACAGATCTAGGCTATCAGCCATACCACTTGGAGTGTGAGCCTCCCGAGAAGCAAGCTATTACAATGAGCGGCTGGAGCTGAAGATAGGATCGAAGAAGGGGCTAGGCTCCTAGTGGAACAGAGGAGACGGTTAGGATAATGCACAAACTCAACTCTTACTTACTCTCTTGGTCTAATATCATGTTATAAATGAATGCAGGTTCCAAAAACGTAGCCTGAGCTCATAGATTAAGACGACTTGAATGACTTGCTGGTTTTGTTTGAAGAAAGTTGGAATGATTTTGGATGCTTGTGTTGCAAGTTTGGGAGTTGTAGAGAGCAGCACAGTGTTGGTATGTGATTCTGAATGAATGGCAGATTGAAGCACATGCATAGGGCTTTTCAGGGTACAAAGAAGGGACCCCTCCCTCCACTCTTCTTCACCCTCTGCTGCCCCTGAGCTTTGCCAGTCTTACTTTTCCTCTTAAAAACAATTCCCCTTTTTCTATTTTATTTCCTTTCCCTTTCCACCTCACCATCGGATCTTCCTTATTAATTTTTTAAATTACGAGTTTAGTTCTTCGATCTTGGCTTGGTTCGGGCTCCTCTGGATCTTATTCGTATCGGAATCTACAAAGAAACGATCCAATTGATCAAGATGAGAAATCGATTCTCTTGCTATTTCTCTAGTTTAGTAATTGTTAGATGAAGACTAAATCAGCTCGTATCGACGAATTAAAAGAGATGTCAACCGACACTAAATGATATCGACAAAGTCCAAATAGTTGAGGATGAGGATATGGAGGAAAAGATTAACAGACTCGGTGCTTTTTAGCTTTAAACAATATTTTATAAAGCCATTGGGTTTTCAAGTTTGTGTCAAATGAGTTTCTTATAATTCGGACGTTTTAAGAAATTTACATGTGCATGTTATGTTATAAGTGAACGGATTCCTAACGCTTCAATTTTGTGTTTAACATAATCGTATTTTTTAAAGATAATCTCAAATACGTTAAAGGCTTCTTTGCTTCTAACCTACTTTACCTTTAAAGAGAAGAAACCGAGCTCATTGTAATCTAAGTCTCTTCTCTAGTCTAACCTTCTTGTTGGAGTAGACTCGGATGGATCTCTTCCCACTTATCATATATTAGTAAATAAACGTTGAGATGTTATCTTGTTACGGGTTAATTTGTTCATCTATTTCTAGATTAACTAAGGTCTCGTTTGATAATTATTTAATTTTTAAAAAATTAATCTTATAAATATTTTAAAAATTTTCCTTTTATCTTAAAACTAAAAAAGAAATCTAATCTTAAAATATTTTTTTAAGAGATATACAAACATAATTAAAAAAAATAACAAAATATTTATTACTTAACTCGTTTTTCTTTTGAATTTCACACAACCCAATAAATAAATAAATAAAAACAAAATTTTAATAATTATATAATTTATTTTAAAATATATAAATATCTAGATATATTAATATATGTTGTTTAGGAATCTCTTGTGAAGCCCAAATGGCCCACTGAACCTGTAGCATTTATATTTGGAGGCAGGGGCATTTTTGGGATTAAAAAAGAGACCTTCCCCATGCTTTTTACAAAGTTAAAATCTAAAAAAAAAAATTACACTATAAATTTTTAATTTAAATAATTGTTTCCTAAATTTTTAAAATTGATTAATGTATTATTTTCTATTTTCTTGAGAAAATAATAAAAAAAAAAATTCACACATATCCTAACGTACAAGAATTTAATTAAAACAAAACAAACTAATATTTCTTAATTAAGTAATAAAATTAAGGGTTCTTTTAGGCTTAAATTTAGCAAGTTGTTTGAATTTTTATTAAAAATTATGAACATTAAAATGTATTGCAACTTTTATGCTATATTCAATGTATACTAAACGGAGCCTGTCAAGCGAGCAGTCTAAGCAATACTCCAATGAACCGAGCAGGGCGATTGACAAAGGCGGGTACACTGAACAAGTGGTATGAATTGACCTCTCTCTTGCATGTAATAATCTATTAAATCTCACTAATTAAAAAAAAAAAAAAGAAAAAGAAAATTTGATATTTTTATTAAAATTAACCATTTAATCTGTCAAAATGATTAATAATTGTCAGCCATTTGTTTTTAGAAAATAAAAAATCATGAAATACACGTGGATTAAATTATGCATAAGGCAAGCCGCCAAGCCGCCAAGCCGCCACGCCTTCACGCCGTCCATTTAGCAGCGCAATATACACGTGCCAAATTCACATTCAAGTATTTTCAAAGCCTAAGTTTGACTAGGGCCCACTAATATACTCCATCACCGTCCATCATTTGGCGAGTGCTGGTACACGCGCGCCCAACTCTAGATCCGGATGCACTCTACAATTATCTCCTTCGCCGACCACTCGCTACGCTCAAGCATTTCCTTGATCAAAATTTCCTCTCCTACTTAAAACGCCTCCTACAAAAGGGGACTCTAGGATACCTCCTGTATCTCGTTGCCGTCGGCGGAATCTGATCGGAACTCATCGCAAATGGCTGAATCTCCGGCAGGAAATGGAAGCGCTTCGCTGTTCTCTCCGTTCAGGATGGGGAAGTTCTATCTATCTCACAGGTTTGTTCTGTTTTAGCCCTTATTTTGGTCTAATTTCGGGGGGAGAGAGAGAGAGAGAGAGAGAGAGAGAGAGAGATCTCGCCGGAGTTTGGTTGTTTGTTAGGGTAAATTTGAATAGCTTCGAATTCATTGATCGTTGTTCTTGTGTGTTTGGCGATCTGGTGAACGATTTGCAGGGTGGTTTTAGCGCCGATGACGAGGTGTAGAGCTTTGAATGGGATTCCGGGGGCGGCACTGGCCGAATATTACACTCAGAGGTCCACTAAAGGCGGATTTCTGATCAGCGAAGGGACTTCGATCTCCGCCACCGCCGCTGGGTAATTTTCGAAATTTTTGATCACTCTCAGGGATATTTTGGTAAATTCCTATGGAAGTAATTGCTACGGTGGGGTTGGGTTGGTTGACTTAGTCTTCTTTGGGTCCCACAGTTTCGCTGCTACTGATTAGTGTGAACAAGAGGAGGGTTATTTTGGTAATTCGATCGTCTTATTAATTTTATTTACTAAATCAAAATAAATTACTTTTTTTTTTGTTTGTTAATGTGAGTATTGTGAATTTTCAAATATATATGTGGGATCAGGAGGGTTATTTTGGTAATTTGATCGTCTTATTAATTTTATTTAATAAACTCAAAATAAATTACTTTTTTTTTTGTTTGTTAATATGAATATTGTGAATTTTCAAATATAATATAATTTTAACATGTTTACTTAAAACTAAATATTATTTTATTTTTAAAATATTAATATTAGTAGGAATAAATTAGAATATATTTGAACTATTGTTAATTAAAAAAGAAAATACATTTTAATCAAAATTACTTAGATTACTTGTTCTAACGAGTCTTTAATAAACTGAACTGGGTAGGTTTCCACATGTTCCTGGAATTTACACTGAAGAACAGGTGCAAGCATGGAAACCAGTGGTGGATGCTGTTCATGCCCAAGGCAGTATCATTTTCTGTCAACTATGGCACGTCGGCCGAGCTTCACACCAAGGTATGACGAATTAATTACAACCACGAAGCACGTATATAGATACGACATGACACGGATACGGATACAGACACAGACATGGTTACATGTCATCTTTTAAGAATTTAGGATACTCCACACAACACGGTTACATGTCATCTTTTAAGAATTTAGGATACCCCACACGATACGGACACGGTTA